CAATGATAACATAGCCCAATACGGTTTCTAGTGCGTAAGGCGCGGTATGCGAGGAGTTGCCCCTGACCTTATTGTTTAACAAAAGATGAGGGAAAAGCGATGCTCCAATGAGCATGTCTATGTTTCCAGGTACGGCGTAAGTGTCGTCCGCTAGAATCAAATTTTTAAATTCAATCATTGCCGAGGTGTCAACCGAAACGGTTGGCAACCATTCAGTGACCCTATCTACTACTAGTGCATTTATATCAAAGTTAACATTACGATCTATCCGAGAATAAAATTTTAAATTAATATATCCCTGGGTAGCTTTACTAGTACCTCCGATGCCTTTAACCACAGGACATGAAAGTGACCTATTTATTACTAAGCCTAAGCGCTGACAACATTGTCGTGTTATAAAGCTATTTTGGGCTCCGCTGTCCAGCAGTGCACGGACGCTTTGTTCGTTCCCACGCGAATCCCTAACCAAAATACGCGCCGTACCCAGTAACACGGTTGAAGGAGGTTGTGCTCCCATATTTGCCAATGAGCACAGAGCGACATCACCAGGTCGACCGCTAGAATCGTTGACCTTAGTAGGGGTGAATTCCTTGTCCGCCTTACTTGACGCCGCTATGTTGCTATTTTCAAAATGTAATAGCGTGTGATGTTTCCTGGCGCACTTGCTACATACGGAACTCGAATTACATTTTGCAACTAAATGCTTATCACTTAAGCAGTTCAGACATAAGTTGTTCGTCTTTACTAATTTATAACGTTCGCTTGGTGAATATTTACGAAAAGTCGCACAATTATATAAATTACCGTGTTTATCTTTACATACGATACAAGTAAGCTGAAGTGATGTTGACGTCGCGGTTATGTAAGTTTAACGACCCTGCTATTTTAGATGGTTGAGTCTGGCTACGGTCGACGCACCTTTTAATCTCCTGTTTAACGTTCGGAGAGCGCTGCATCACCTTTATTTGATCTCGCACGAACGATGCTAATGAATGAAAGGAAGGCATCTCCGAGCTACGATGCTCCATTTCAAACGCACGCATGGTGGCGGGGTCTAATTTCTTTAGTGCAATATGGAGGAACACCACGTCCATAAGGTCATTAAATTTTAAATTCTTAAGTGCAGCCACCGATGCCACAAATTTATCTAAAAACTGCTCTAAGCCGTTGATGTTCGCGGATGATATAGGTTTAAGATCGAATATCTGGTTCAAACATTCGGAAGCTAACATTCTCCTATCTTCATATTTAGTTTTAAGCGTTTCGAATATTAATAAGTAATTGTTTGCTGTAGGTGTAAAACCAGAGCAGATTGACTGTGCCCTGTCACTAAGTTTACTAATTAAGTAATATAATTTTTCAGCGTCCGATAACGATGGGTTATTGTGTATATTGTTTTGAAAACTACTGAAGAAGAAGGGCCACGTCTTAATATCACCATTGAATACCGGAATATCTATTGGCGGCAACCTAATTGAGTCACGAGGACGTACCTGCAATTCCGGCTTTGCTTCGCTTTGAGATTGTAGGAGTTTTGCCGTTCTTTTCACGCGACACAACATATCTTCGAATGCCAGCAGAGGTTGGTAGTTCACTATGTATTTCGGGTCGATTTGTAATTCCAAATGATTAATTTGGTCAAATATTCTTTCGTAATCCGTCCGCAAAGAATCCACCGTTTCAATTTTATTCAGAAAAGTTTCCCGCACCGCTTCTACATTAATGTTCTTTATATGATCGCTAATGTTTTGTATACGTGAAAAAAGTACGTCCCTCGTGGCATAAAGCGTTTTAATTTTATATTCATTTCCACTAACTGCCATTTAAAATTATTATAACAAAGTTATTAATCACAATTAATCTCACACGCATAAACGATGGACGATGGACACTCGGTATGCCGTATTACGTAATTAAATCGAACACCTGTTGTAACAGGTGTTCGACTGTAGTCGAGGCGACGCGTTGCTTGCTAACTCAATGTTTTTATAAAGATTGTCGGGTAAGCGTACCAAACGGTTGCTATCACACTGTTTCAATTATTTAATAAGCTTTAAATTTAACCAAATACGAGCGCTATAAAATAAATAATTTTGTTTGCGAGTATCTAATCAAAATTTAAATTTAAACGAACACTATTTAAGTCTATTCCATAGATTAGAGTGCATTATCTAAATAATTAATTTAATAATTCGACCAGAAAATGGTTGGAGGACCACCAAACACCAATCCAAATCCTGCCGAAGTGACCATAAAATGTTGGAGCCACGTGTTTAAGGCTGCCGAAGTCTAGTTCCCCGGTCGAACCTTAAACCTATTACGCGAGATATTAATCTAAGTGGACTGTATCTACAAAATGATTCTACACTTATATATGCGGTACAATGCACTCGCTCTTCCCAAAAAAAAAACGAACTATTATTTGCCAAATCGATGAAAGGAATCCTGCTTGATTAGGAAAACACAAAATTGGAGCGGGTTAAAACGATTATATCAAGCAGGAAAATACTATTAGGAAAATGTTGACTCACTGGGATGTTTCTTCTATGCGGTCGAGCACTATAACTGCGACTTCTGGAACCTCCTCTGGACAGACACTCTGGGGCCCCAGAGATACGTCGGGAGAGAATCGGTGTGGTTTCAACGGCGAGCGCGGCGGGAAGAGGCCACGCGTCGGTCGCGCGTGTCTTATATATCCTCGGTTCCGATGATTACGTGATGTTCTAGAATCATCTTCTTTCCCCTCCCACCCCACCACCCCGATGTGTCGATAGGAGGGTACGAATGATATCGTTTTGGATAGGGATAACCGATTTGACAGCCTACCGTCAAATAAAATAAATACGAATGGTTTTCCGCGCAACCAAACTAATATTATATATACAAATACAATAAACTTATATACTCCAAAATATAATACAGATAATATATAATATATACATACATATTCATATATACATAAATATATACATATTTTAAATACAAATAGATATATAATATAAACCTATAAATAAAATAACAACAAAGGTAACCAAAATTAACCATATTAACTATCATCTAATATTTTCATAAAATGCTTATGTACCAATCTTTTAAAGGCAGTCTTATTAGATGTTTTTCTGACGTCATCGGGCAAGGAGTTCCAGAGCAGTGCAGCCTGAATTGTGAAGGATTTACCAACAAAATTAGTGAAATGTAGAGGGATACTTAGTTTATTATTATATGAGGAACGCAGAGTTCTATCATGCGTTAGGGAAATATATTGAAATTTCTCCTTGAGATAAGAAGGAGTGGATAGATCATTTAAGATAGAAAAGAGAACAAGCAAAATTCTGGAGTCACGCCTCTGTTTAATAGTGAGCCATTTTAGGCGAGAGCGATAGTGAAAAATATGATCAAATTTACGGAGATTGAAAATGTATCTGACACAATTGTTGAGAAGGCGCTCTAGCTTGTTGAGAATATTTTGGTTTAAATCCGGGTAACACACGTCTGCATAATCAATGATTGGTAGTATAAGTAACTGTACAAGCATAATTTTAGTCTTAAACGGGAGAAAATTTTTCAATCGATAAAGAGAACGAAAAGAACCAGAGACTTTACGACATGCGGAGATAGAACCCCCCAGGACAGTCAATTGGAGACCAAGATTTTTAACAGAGGGAGAGAACGGTATCAGACGATCAATATATTAGACGGGAGGTAGACTAGCGGCATCTATTTTAGCAAGCATCCTTGAGCTACCCACAATCACCGCTTGGCATTTCGTAGGGTTGACAGACACTCCAAAGCGCATAGACCAATCACAGACTGACTTGAGATTTGAATTCAATTTGTTAATCGCATAATGGATGTGGGAAATGTCAGACTGTACATAAATTTGTAGGTCATCAGCATACAGATGGCACGAACAATGAATATTAGATGTGGTGGAAATAATAAAAATAGAGAAGATTAATGGAGAAAGTATACCGCCTTGCGGTACGCCAGAAATCAGGTCAACCCACTGTGAAGTCATTTGCTCCACGTGGACAGACTGTTGACGTCCGCGAAGATAAGATGAGAACCATTCCAGGACTGACGGTGCAAACTTATAATAAGAAAGAATAGCAAGAAGGATATCATGGTCAACCGTGTTAAAAGCATTAGAAAAGTCAACGAGCACCACAACTGTAACTTTCTTGTTTTCCATTCCTTCTCTAATATCTTCAGTTATTTTAAGTAAGGCAGTAGTAGTGCTGTGACCAGGACGAAACCCGGACTGAAAAGTACTCAGCAGGTTATGTTTATATATGAAATTGTAAATTTGCTTGTGAACACAGGCTTTCAAAACTTTAGATAGGAAAGGTAAACCTGATATGGGACGGAAGTGATTGGGAAGTGTGGGATTGGATACTTTAGGAAGGGGTCTAACGAAAGCATTTTTCCACTGACTCGGAAACTGACCCAAGTCAAGCGAAAAATTAACAATATGTGTGATTGCGGAGATAATGTGTTCTAGAATATTAACAATCATGGCTCTGCTAATATCATGGCAACCGACAGCCTTGGATTTTATCGACAGAAGGATCTTTCTGATTTCATCCTGATCTACAGGGTTAAAAAGAAAGACTGGTATGTGTGGAGACGGAATTGAGGCTATGTAAGCGACTGTTTGGGATCGGATTGAAAGGTCCAACGCAGAAGCAGAAGCAAAATGAAGATTTAAAGCATCGTGAGAAAGCGATAAACCACAATCCAAAGAGGGTGTTTTGCCCACACCTAGAGAACTAAGAAATTTCCACACATCAGCTGGCGAAGAATTACTTATATTGCTATGGATAAATCGGCGTTTTGCAGAACGTACCATCTGATTGCATCTGTTTCTGTCCTTCTTAAAAGACAACCAGTTTTCCTTAGACCTGCTCCTCTTGAACCGGGCAAATGCTCGATTTCGCCTAGTCATGGCCTTCCGTAACTCTTCAGTCATCCAGGGAGCTGGTGGCCGTCGTAGTTTCACTTTATATATATCCCAGATGTCCTGTGTTTAGTTTATTGGATGCGTTCTTTTTATTAAATTTTGTTACCGGTGCTAGTATCTCATCACAAGTTTTTACTGAAAGATGTTTTATAGTAATTGCGCGAGGCCTCTTATTTGATTCATTCATCTTCCTAACTCTGGTACAGGTAGCTGGTTCGATGACATCGGTAGAAATAGATACAGTGTTGCATATTTGTATGGCAACATTAATTAAGTTCTCAGTCTTACTTTCCGGAACACCATTCACTTCAATATTCGTCTCACGCGAGTATTGCTCAAGTAAAACAAGTCTATTTGATAATTCGTTCACTTTTGTATGTAAGTTGCTGTTTTCAGCTAAGAGCGACTTTATGTGCTCTTCTGACGTTTTTAATTCTTTTTTCATTCTATCATATTCCGCACTTAAAAATTCAAGCCCGCTTTTGGTATCTTTTAAGAAACTTAACTCCTCTTTTATAGTTCTTAAATCCATTTTTATAGATGACTCCTCTATATCTTGATTAAAAATTTCCCATTGATGATTTAATTTCTGATCTAATTGTTAGCATTAAGGATTCATCTCCAGGTTGTGTAGGTGAATTCACCTTCTGATTACTAGGTAGTTGAGGTTGTTTACGCTGTGTTATGTAATCATTGTTAGGAGTACTGATTTCCTGCGTCGAATTAGCACGGTCGCGCGGATACGTTCTGGACTGAATGGGGGTGTTTAAATTGCCACCCTTTCGCTCTTTGCATCTACAACCAGGGCAGATCCATTTCTCTTTCTTGTCTTTCTCCAGCAGCATAAGGCGTTGGTGAGAGATATTAGCGCAAACTGAGTCATATATATCTTTGAAGTGAACATGTTACAAAGTCTTAATAGTTATTTTATTTAAACATCCCGCGCACAATTTTGTTTTTGAAGCCATAGCGCCATAGGTATTCAAAACCCCTGTGTACGTTAGTTGTTGGTTCCTTTAGCGAAACTGTTCTTTCGGAGTGCTTTCACTTAAAGTTAATGGCAACGTAAGACGGTCTGACACTAGGAGTACTAGGCGCACATAAACAGGTAAGTGAATTATGACTGACCAAAAAAAGAGGGTAGCTAAGAAGATGGCCGCTACGATTTCCGTGATGGCAGTTGGGCGGGGCGCTGCTTGTTGTTTGTGATATCGCGCTTCGCAGATGACGTCACTAACTGAGAGCTCTTTTTACTTTATGCGCTCCTATTTTTTTAATATAATTAAAAACTGTTTTAAATTTAACTTAATTTTTAAAATAAAATGTCGATAACATTAATACGTGTGCTCACTGCCGAGGTCCGAGAGGAGAGGTAACTCTTCACGCAAGGCCAGCGGGATTTGACCCTAGCAAAGGCTATCAACTTGGAGGAAAGCACGTGCTGTGGACGTATTCTAGACCTTTTTCGTTGGTTAATTTAAAAGTTCATAGATGCGGAACACCAAGTTGCATATCACAAATCTGGCTGCTCGAGTTCGAAAACTAACTTATGTATTAAAACTTAATAGTTCATAGATGCAGAACACCAAGTTCCATATCACAAATGTGGCTGCTCGAGTTCGAAAACTAATTTATGTCCTAAAACTAATACGCAACAGTGCTAACATAAATATTTTCAAAATGTATCTAGACACGCGGTAGCGTGTCAAGCCAAGTTCAAGCAGAACAGCGAGCCGCACCGTGATTGTGATAATACGAACCATTTGGAGCCACTTTAGACTCCCTCATAACTCAAAAACTATTTCACATAAACGTTTCAAATTTGGCACATATATTGACACTTCCAAGATATATATGTACTTCAAATTTCGTAAACAGATCTCAAACAGTTATATAGATATTACCGTCTAAAAATCGTCATTTTTATCACTGACTAACCTATAGATCAAAACTCTAACCCAGTTTCAGATGACTTAGAAAGTTCAAATTTAACATGCATATAGGTAATTAGGTGAATACAAAGGAATAAATCAGAAACTGATAATTTTTTTATAATTTTATTATAATTTTTCACTTAATTGATTCTATTAGGAATATACACAGTGCGCGGTACGCTGCCGGTGGAGCGAAGTGGAAGCGGTGCGATAAAACATTGACGCGAACGTGTCCGAGGTCCGAGCGAGTGGCAGGTGGCACTGGCAGCAGCGCTCATAAACGCGAGCGCCGTTTTGCTGTCCGGTTGTCTCTCGATATCTGACCTATGAGGTGGCGATTTATGCTACGAAATTAATAGGTTTTCTTAAAAAATACTTATATATTTGTGGTTATATTATTATTACAATTCTTTTAGTAAGTACGCACCGCGTCTTTAGATGGTATGGCAAATATTTGAAATCAAAAATTAATAATAATTTAGTATAATTTTTAGTAGGTATGTATACCTAACTCTGAATGAGTGCGAATGAGACTTTATTGCTATAGTAACAAATTTTCTTGAGATTTCAATAGATAACAGGTAATTTGTTATGTAATCATCTTAAGTAATTATCTTTTTATTACGTATATTGTACAATGAGTCGTACAATAGAAATACGGGTGGGTGACATACTTACTTTACACCGAATTATTCCAATGCCTCCCGATGGAAGCTGCCTATTCCATGCGATCGCCGTTTCAGATATTAAGTAATGTATATGTTCACATGGAATAATTCCCTATTTGCTTAGCATATGTTATTACTATCCACAAATCACAAGGCCTTAGCCTTGATAGTGCTCTTCTCAACATAGGCTCCTCTATATTTAGTAGAGGGCAGGCTTACGTTGGACTCTCTAGAGCTAAAACCTTAGATGGAGTGAATCTTATCAATTTAGATCCAAGCCAAATCAAGTCACAAGAGAGCTTTAGTGTAGAGTACAACCGTCTGCGCACGTTATACCGCTCTGACTTGGCCAAATTAAGTATAAACAGAAATTACGTGAAAAAAATTCCGGATACTGAATGGGCGATTCACTCAAACATATCAAAGGTACAAGAAAATATAGAAAATAACACAAAAAGACAAAAGCCCCGTAAACGTAGAAAATACAGCAGTTTAACAAAAACTATTTGGTACTAATTTTGTTATAAATAAGTACCTACTTATTAGTACAAAAATTTATGTACAAAAATTAGTGATATCCCATCAAAAACATAAATGTGAAATGAGAGCCAAGTTCAATATTATGATATATGCCTTGGTTGTTGACTTCAACGACAAAAGAAGTGAGATCTAAATGGGTGCCAAGTTCAATGGTCAGTCCCGAAATTTATTTATAACAACATAAAATATCGTTTCTTCTTATAACTTAGGATAATATATTGTAGCCTAAGGTCTGACTTGGCACGCACGCTCTCTGACTCCAAGATACTGAGAAAATATTTTTAGATGTTTAGCTCACTATTCTTATTTACATTTGTTAAACCTATATTTCAACAAAATTTATTATTATTATGTCTATGGGCCACAGAAACCACTTACCACCAGGTGGACTGTGTGCTCTTTTGTCACTCTATCCGATAAAAAATAATTTATAAGCCTTTGTACTTACATCAAAAAATAAAAGTTTTAAACCTGTAGATTGGTCATTTTGCGACAAACGTATAAACTTCGATATCTTTGTCTTCACGTGTGAAAGCTTTAAATTGGATTTCTGAAATTGGCTCTCGGGTGTAATATCCTACTCCCAGAAAGGGACGGGCATAATTATATCCCTTAGGGGGAGGACATTGTATGCGCTCTTCGGGGCTTACAATGTCCTCCCCCTAAACGACATAATTTGATTACAAAACTTATTGTGATATGATATAGATTCAAACAGTTTTTTTTAATGTAACATACAGTTAAATCCTTGAGTCAATACATTTTCATAAATATTATATTCCTTTCAGGTTTATGTAGCACATATTTTAATAACTTCAACGTAGATACAAAAATAGTAACCTAGTCAGTTAAAACGACTTCATTTATCGTAGTTGTATAACTGTTAACATTTATACGAAACTAGTGCAGAAATACAAACAAAAAAACGTTTCTGCCTATCTCCATCATAGACTGTGAAATCATCTAACCGATTTTGATGAATTATTTGTGTGTATTTAAATGGGTCCCTAGATGGTTTATATTTACATTTGAACCAGGTACTTGGCACTGTTGTCGAGATCCAGAAATCCCGGATCACTGGTAATGAAAATAAAGTCGAAATTATAACCTCCTCCTTTCTGCCGTTTGTCAAAATTAAAGGATGAACAAAATGTCTCTAATATAATGTGATCCTATAGTAAAGATAAAAATAGAAAACGCCAATTTTTGTGACGTTAAGAAAAAAATAAGAAATGTTTGTTTCCTGTTTCATTTCTTATTCATCGCATATTTAGCATGCAAACGCAAAGTTTTGCTTTGTTCTACTTCAAAAAAAGTTTGTATTATTCTTGTTTTGCTGCCATATTGTTTTAGAATTTGATTTATAAACAAGTGGTAAAATTAAAAATTTTGTACAGCGGAATTCAATACAAATGAAATAAGAACATCATCAATGTAGTCGAAATTTATTAAATACGCATTATTGAGGATTAGTCAAAAACTACTAGTCAAATCTTGATCAAATTTATATGTAACCACAAGCGTAGCACCTGCTTTCAAATGAAAAAAGAATCATCAAAATCGGATTGCGTTGTAAAAAGTTATACTTTTGTTGGAGTTTCCATAATATTAAAATTATATATGTTTATTTTTATTATGCTATTAATAAGTATAACATTCTGCTTATTTTATAGTAATATACGCTATTCATTATTTTACCTAAAAGATTCCTGTCCTTGATTTTTATCAGATATGCTTGTATTTAATAAACTTTCACATTGTCCTAAACTTAAAGACTTAAAGTTCTGCGAAATTAATTACTTAATTTATGCTATATCAAGAATATTAATATGCACTATTTAAATACTTTATTTAATGGTATTTTATTAACTCATTTAAGGGTTTATGTATACATAAACTTCGATAGGAAAATGGTAAAAGGAACACATCTACAAAGGAACTGCTTACTCGATAAAATTTGTCAAAAATAGGCTGTAACGGTAATCATAAAAAATTACGTAGCTTTGTAAAAAAATGATAAAATCCAAGTTATTTTAACACAAGTGAGCCAATTACTCAAAAAAAACCGAAAACATTGCTTTATAATAACATAACATCTTTTTTCTTAAGAGTAATAACAAATCTCCATTTTTATTCTGAATTTAGGATAAATTTAGTTTTCTTTGGATCACATCATTCACTTACCATCGTGGCTGCATAAAGAACATTGAGACTGTAAGTGCTAATTTACAAGTATAACGTGTTCGTGAAAAACATTGACACTGCACTTCACAGAATTTAAAAATACTGCGAGAACATGTAGAGACCGACAGCACGTATTCCGACAGCATTAGGTAATATTACTTTTTGAAGAACTTTCAGCACCGGAGCTTTTATAGAATAAATGTAAC